TCAAGCTAAGGCGTATAGTCATACACGGGCTCCAGGTTGCCCTGGGCTTTCGAGTGAACGGTTCAACACCAAAGCGAGCTGGTATAAATGCATGTGAAGAGAGCCCTGTGTGCCCAAAACATGTTACGCAACTAGAACCAAAAGCGCAGCATGGCAATCAATACCAGCGGGAGCGGTTCCACTCATCCCATCTCATCCCACTCGGCTTGCGAATTCCGGCCGCGCCCTGTCCTGGGAGGACGTGTTTCCTTTGGCCCTTAACTCGTGTTTGCGCTGGGCTATGGACCAACAGCATCAGATGGGCGCCCGTCTTCATGGGTGGCGCCAAGCAGTTAGCAGGGATGTGCGTGACTTGGTGCTTGAGGTTCGAGAAGATCAGGAAGAGTGGCTTGCCTTGGCTCCGCAGCACGTGCAAAGGGTGATAGACAGGTTTCGGGACAGTTTGTGGTTCTGCTCCTGACTTTTGCGATTCTTCTATTCAGCTGTTCGACTTTCCTGAGTGGGACCAACTGGTGTGCGATATGTTTCATGGGTTCCGCATGCTTGGGCCAATGACCCCGGGCGCGGCCTGGCGCCTGACGCGAAATACGCCCATCTGATTGGGCGTGACCAGTTCCGGTCGTTCAGCTCGGCACGTGTTCAAACGATCTTAAAATCAGCCTGCCCCAACGAACATGCGGAGCGCTTGTTCGCCGAAGTTGTTGCAGAAACCGCGCTTGGCCGTTTTCAAGGGCCATGGTCTCACGAGTACTTGCAGCGGCAGATGCTTCAGGCCGGCGGTTTTGTTGCAAAGGCGTTTCCAATTGTTCAGGGTGATAAGGTTTGTAGAGGGGATGATTGGTTGCGGTCCGGGCATAATAGTACTGTATGGGCGTCCGACACGCCTTTTTTACATGGGTGCACCCAGGATTGTTGCCGCTGCGCGGCACTGCGCGCAGAAGTCGGTTCCGCATGTAGCAGCAGTTGACCATGAAGGCGCGTACCGAGCTCTACCGGTTCGAGATCCGGAAGAGTGCTACACCGTACTCCCAGGCGAAGAGGCAGGTTCTGTTTGGCAGCACATGGTATTGACGTTCGGCGCCACTAGCTCGGTCTGGGCATATCTACGCGTTGCAGACGCTGTTTGTTTTCTCAGCATTGTGTTGCTTCTTCCTGCGACAGCGTTCGTAGATGACTTCTTCAGGATTGACGGAGCGAAGTCGGCGCCAGTTGGATCAGCGAGTTCCAGGACATCCACGCGGCCATGGGATTCCGCATGAAGAAATCCAAAGAGAAGCCGCCTGCAGCCAAACAAGTCTTGCTAGGCGTGGAGTGGTCTGCGGGGCAGGAGCAAGTCCAAGCGTCTGCAGGAAGTGACCGAATCGAAAAGATCCAGCAGATGATTTCAGGTGTCCTTGAATCAGGTGAAATGAGTCAGCAGATGGCAACGAAACTCGCAGGTAAGCTCAACTTTGTCACGTCGTGGGTTTTTGGTCAAGTCAGCAAGGCTTTGCTGAGGCCTCTGTACTCTAGACAGCACGGACTCCCTGGTTCCAATGCGTTATCGCCACTCCGCACAGCGCTGATTGAGATCCAGCAAGTACTCCCTTTGTTGAAGAAACCAGTGCAGATCCCAGTGCAAATAAATGAGCAGCGCGTGTCTGTTCTGTATGCAGATGCCTTCATTACTCTCCAGGGAGTGCGTCGTGCAGCCAACAAATGGGGGGCAGAATGCCCGCCGTTGCATGCCTTGGTGGGTTCTAAGAATGGTTGGGGGCTTTGTTTTTCGGTTCATCGGGACACAGGCGTGCATTTCGGTGTCAGGTACTGGTGGAGTCACTGGCTAAGGTTGCTCCTTCAAAAGCGCTTTTCTATTGGTTAGAGATGATGGCGCAAATCTTGTCCATTGCGGTGATTGCGCCTCATGTGCGTGGACATATGGTGTGCTTCATTGACAACACTGCCGCGGAACATGCGCTGCGCAAGGGTTATGCCAAGAGTGAAGCCTTTACCAAGACGTTGGCATGCTTTTGGTCTTGGGTCGCGAACACCGGCCTACAGCTCTCTTTCCACCGAGTGACGTCTGCTGCTAACTTGTCGGATGGCATCTCTCGAGGATGCTGGGATGAAGCAGAGTCATGGGGGTGTCAGAGACTCCATCCGCAGTTCGAGCGTTTCTACAAGTTCTTTTCGAGGGCTCACGGGGCGAGTGGAAAGCCTTGCACGGCCAGTTCTCAACTCGTCGACGAAGCTGCCGACTTCCAGTCCACGCGCCAGAGTGGGGAACAGCGCGTGTGAGTGGCGAAATCGCGCTGTTCGGAGGGGTGGTCCAGAGGACTCCGCCCCGAGCAGACATTCAATGCACTCCAGCCAGTGGGACGAGGAAAAGAAGGAGTCCGCTGGGCCAGTTACATGATGTGTCAAGTAGGAGCGAATACTTTCGCGTTGATGTGTGTGCGCCTAGCGAGACTTGTCCGTTGAAGCCGCCCCAAACCTCGCCTGACCTCGTCCGAGCGCGAGTGCTTAAAAAAATGTAAGTGTATGTATATGTATCTATATGTATGTATATGTATGTATATACATGATATGTGTGTGTGGGATTCTGCGAGCATGCGTGCGTGCGTGCGTGCGCGTGTGTGTGTGTGTGTGTGTGTGTGTGTGTGGGCTGCTGCTGAACATGAAAGGAAGACCTGATAATCCCTGTACAGAAGCAGCAAGGGGCAGCAGGGAATGCTCCAGGCTTGCTGCCGACGAAAACGAGTGAAGTATTCGGTGGCATTCCTTGAGCACATATTTGGCAAGACAACATACAGAGCTTCTGAGATGCCATACCGCTTTAGGCATTTAGTTGTCGTTTTTTTACCAATATTGGTATTGAGGCCCTTTGAATGTTTTCGCTTCACAGCTTGCGCACGCGTTTCAGCTGTCTACACTCATCGCTCCTATAAATTTGGTCGACTTCATCAATCGCTCCCAGAACTCCACTTACTGCATGATCCAGACCTCTGACGACTACAATAAAACTGGATTATGAGTCAAATCCAAACGATCCGAAAGTGTCAGTGTAAGTAAGTAACTGCATGTGTATGTGTGTGCGGGTGTGTTTGTTTCTGTGTCTGTCTGTCCCTGTCTGCTGTCTGACTGACTGTTTGTCTATCTGTCTGTCTATGCACACGCACACACACAGAATTTTTTTTTGCGAGGACCGCAGCACGATGTTTAGAGCAAGCCCAGGTGATGTTTAGACAAACAGCGCAGATGACGACGATGTATGTTCGTGCCACGATAAACTTGCCTGTGGTGTCTTGGCATGTTCGCTGCAGTTGCAACTTGGAGGGTTGGGTTTCGATCTTGAATGAGCTGCAGCCACTTGGATTGAAGGTGAAGAGCTCTCATGTCGACTGGTCGGCTATAAAGCTTGAGACTTAGCTTTGCGAGCATGCGACTTTCACCCCGTGGAAAGCTGTTTTCAGGCATCGCGTGCAACAATTTGATGCCGATTGGCAGGCGTCCAGTCGCTACTCTAGCTGAACCGCAGCTTATTGGGCAAATCCGAATAGTCGTCAGCTCAGCGCAGGCGCCGCATTTGCGGAGCACTCAGCACCAGCCAAAGTCCAAGCAAGCAGAGGGGGCTGAAATCTGAAAGAGTCAGTCCAGCATGACGTGACCAGTTGCAGCCATGCAATGCTATGTGTTCAATGCTGGCAGGGCGAGGATGATTATGGTGATGCACTCGTCAGTGTCAAGCATGACGGCTCGGACTCCATAACCTCAACAGACCTCAGCGTGTGCCTTCGTCCCAGGTTGAGGCACAGGTACACATGCAAGCACTCACACGCCCCACCCTGACCGACCAGTGACCAGTGACTAGCTTCTAAGTATACTCGGCCCTTGCTGTCCGAAGCGGAAGCCATGCCGGAGAGTTTCCAAAATGGATGCCACGAAGGCGTCATTTTCCTCACTGCCAGTGTCGATGGTGTACAGTTTATTGCATGTCTCGATGATGAGGATGCGGTGGCGAAAGGCAAGGCAAACAAGCGCCTGCGGCATGGATTTCAGATACCCTCGGTCTCAAGAGCGCATCAGGCCTTCACCATGGGTCGGTCGGAATCTAAGGCGACAACAGAAGTCGCCCAAGCCTCGCCCTCAGTGACTGCAAGAAGGCAAACAGGCAATTGGTGGGGGGTGTTTTGATTCAAAGGTAAAGTGACATGGCAAACTTGAGTTTGTTTTTTGGACCCTGCGGATAGTGTTAGTAAAATTGACTTGCGTGCAGCTTTGATTGAAAGGTTGCTTTGCCTGCTTGGACCAGTGACAAGCAGCATTTTGCATGCATTTATCTTGCCGAGACGGCAACCAGCAAAGTTCCGAGTCATCCCTGATCCCTGGACATGATAACAGCCCAAGACAATGGCAGACAGTCCCAGCAGACCAAGCATGCATTCCGTGTGCTGTGCTTCACAACTCAACTCGACGAATGAAGCGAACATGGATGAGCCGCCACCAGTGCCAAAGACTTTCTCACTCCCCACGAAGTTGATGGACACAATTTGAACGTCTGTTTGTCAAACAAAGCATTTGGGCATCTTTCACAGTACCCGGCTCTTTCTCCCTCTCAAGCGCGGGGACGGCATGTCCAGGCATTCTTGCGAGGCGCAGGAACAGGAATTCAAACACAAGTTTGATGCCAGAAGAGAGCAGCGAGTGCCAGAAGTGCTTCTCCCTTGAATCAAACAACCAACATCTGGAGCCATGCTTCAGTTCTGGCTGTCGGCAGACTTTGCTAGGGGTGCTAATGCTCCGATACAAGATTCTCGCAGGTATTACAGGAGCTTGCTGATTGGCAGCGCACGCCGCAGACAAGCGTCCAGCACGTCTCCAGATCATGGGCGACATGCGTTGCCAACACCCTGCACGAAAAGAACGATGGACACCGTAACACGAATTGATCGCCGACAGACAGCAGAGTCAAACCATGCAATAGGTAAGACTTTCCAATGTGCGAACTTTCGAGCAGACAGATGGCAATGTTGCGCTGTGCAGAAGAGATGTCTTCATTCTGAGATCTGTCAAAAGTTGGGGGATCTCTTGCATCCGAGGCGCAGCAAAAAAGACCGCAAAGCAGACAAGACGGCAAATGACAAGAAGAAGGAACACAAGCAAAAGAAGAAGGACAAGAAGGACAGACCTGTCCCTCAAAGTCAGATCATCGTGTCAGTCTGTGTCGGCCTAGAAGAGCAATGTAGTGACAGGGGCAAGAGTCGAGAAAGAGACCGGCGACCGATGTCGCCGGAGTTCCAGACGAGCCGAAGCGACTGACAGGCGCCCGAAAAGTGCCCTCGACGTTTCGCTCCCTGTTTTGGTGGTGACCGCAGGCACCGGCTTGGAAGATGGGGAAATGGCAGACGACTTCCTGGAAGAACTGCTGCAGCCCGTCCGTGATGCGGACGAAGAGGACATGCAAGAAGCGGACTTTTGGAACGGCGTCGGGGAGGAGGAGGACTTTCTGGACGAGGACTCTGCGGCCATTGCGGAAACTGCCGGGGAACCAGTCCAGGAGGCCGTGGCCGCGATGTCGAAATCGAAACCAACAAAGGGGCTACATGGTTTTGTACTACGAAGCCTAAGACTAAGATGTGTCCAAGACTGCCGTCAATCTTGCCCATCTTCTGGCAAAGAGGCAAAGCACACATTCTTTCATGATATTCCTCACCATGAGGCCGCTAGGCCCATTGATTCCTGAAAGAGACAGGAAGCCAGCATCCAAACTTCAGATGTGGACGGGAATGGTGCCACACACGATACTCTTGTTGCAACGTGGCATGCGAAATTGGACGGGAATGCGAGTTGGACTGCAAAACCCGTTCTTTCCTTCGAGTTACCTCAACAAGATGGATTGAGGTGACTGTCGAGGATGCCAAGGTTCTGCAGGAGAAGCTTGCTGTGCTGGCAAAGGTCTCGGGGGCACGCCTCGAGCTGCTCACCACCACGCTTTACATCAGAGGCCCGGTCCGGCCTACACTGTGCAGAAGTGCTGCTGCTGCACTAGTACATTGCGTCAGGACATGTGACATGTGCAGTCCACGTGGTGCCGTGCAGCATTTCAATTTATGAGAAAAATCCGACTGTTCAATGTGGAACCGGGAGTCTAGTTGGGGAATAGTTTGCTGTAAGTGTTGTCATTCCACTGAAGTGTAGGTGTATGTGTATATTATGTGTGTGTGTGTTTGTGTGTCTGTCTGTCTGTCTGTCTGTCAGTCTGTCGCTCTGTAGCGGGTACTCTGAAATTGAGCGTCTACAATGGGAAATGGCTGGTTTTGATGCGTTGTGCAGCCACTCATGTAGAAGCTAAGCTGACTTTCGCCTTCGTAAGTTGTTGCCCGAAACCCTTCAGCACTCTCCTGGCTGTTGCAGTGGTCGTGGAGCGCGTTACTTGGTGTTGCGCACCTTTTGGGTCATGGGTTCGGGAGAAGGTAGAGGCGCCGACCTCCCTCCTCGAGCCATAGCCCTGCGCCACTTCCATATCCGAGCCAGGTTCCGGTTGAAGGCGGCTCTGGACTACATCTTCTACGGCCTCTTCACGAGTGGGAGTTCGCCGAGTACAAGAACAGAGAGTGGACTACATCTTCTTCTCGGACTTCGCGGACCAACAACTTGGGTGTCTCATTGCTTGGATCCTCCCGGAACTGTCGGTTGAGTTGACCCCTTGAGAGCCCCCAACCACAGCTGGAAGCAGCCGCTGTGGGCTTGGGAAGGCTTCTGGACTCCATCCTCTTCTTTCTCAACTTTCTCCACTGCCACTACACCAGAGAGCACGGGCGAGGCCAAAGGCCACCTAAGGAGGACCAGGCGGAGAAGGTGGCCTAGGAAGGGGCCAACAGACAGGCCGGGTTTGGCAAAAGACCGCAAAGCAGAGAGTCTAAAGGAGGAAAAGGGCCAAAAGGAAAAGGAGGAAGCAAAGGAAAGAAGAGCAAAAGGAGAAAAAGGGCCGAAGAAGCGCCGCCGAGCCGATAGCCGGCGGAGGGTCAGCAGGTCTCCTCCCTCAGCGCAAGGCCGCGAACGCCACCGAAGGTTGGAGCACTTAGGCGTGAAGGTGGAAGTGGCGTGCGAGGATAGCCCTTTTCGGTCCTGGTCAAGGCAACGCCAGCGGACCCGCGAGGTGTCTCGCAGACGACACTGCGGCGGAGCAGCCGGAGTTGGCAAGCTTCCCGGACCTGAACGTCGACACTACCCGAAGGAGCTCGCTTCCACACCGGCGGACTACGCGCATGGAGTCTGGCACCTGGTGACTTGGTGAAGTGCTTCGAGGAGCTCTGTGGAAAGGCCCAGAGCGAGAAGCGTGGAGACACCGGCAGAAGCTCTATGTGAGCTTGCGCCGAGGACCGACGGCGGAGCGGTGACGCAGTTCGCATCCACCTAAAAAGCCTTGGTGTCGGAGTACATCGCCGAAGGCATCCACGTGACTCCGGTTGAGTTTGAATGGCTCTTCGAGGAGAGGCTTGCTTGCCCTTTCGCAAATTCAGAGACAGGTGCTGGAGACCGCCACCGGCAAGGGGTGCTGCGCCTCTTCCGCTGCACCTCACTCGGAGCGAGCTACTCCGTGGTGCTTGGCGCCGGGCTGCCCTAGCACGGTCCCTTCCTCGGTTTGTCTCTTGCGTCGGGCAGCTCGGTCGGCCTCGTACCCCGAGCCAAGTGGCTCAGGCCTTTGTGGCCGAGGAACCGACGACGGGTACGAGGAGCAGCCCGAAGGCGAGAACGACGCCTTCCGAACTGGCTGGCGGAGACGCAGCCACGAACGAGCTGGATGGCGCAGCGGCCCTGGATGAGGGTGAAGACCTGCCGCCAGGGCTGGCGGAGGAAGCCTCAGCACATATGACAAACGCCAGCGAAGCTTTGGTTACGGTCTTTTTTGGCGACGACTCCACGCCGATGGCAGCTTCACACTTCACACTATGCAGAGGCTGAGGCCAACCAAGGTACTAAACTTCAAGGACCAGCACAGCGTAGAGGTTGATGAGTTTGAGGTGATGATGACGCTGGCAGAGGCCCTGTGCAGGGTCTCCCGACACTCTGCTTGCTTGCGGCCATGGGCTCGGCCTGCCGTTCCAGTCAGCCAGGCCCTTTCAGAGTACCTCAGCCTGGTGAGCGAGAACCGAGAGATTTAGGTTCGGCAACGACCAGACCTTGGTGAGCAGCAGGCGGGTGCGTATCCCTTGCTTGCTGCCTGGAAGGGCGGATCCTGTTGCTTTGGTTTCGGGTTGCCTGGTAGTCCGACACTACATGGAAGTCCTGGGCGTCGTGCTGGACTTTGAGGACCGCATGGCCCGTTTCAAGGCTTTGAAGCTGGGGCCACTGCGGCTCCCGCAGCTTCCGGCAGGACACCTGGGCCTGCCCCTTTTTCCGAAAGCAGGATGGCCCGCGGCAGGAAACGATGGCTCCTTTAAGCCGCTGGGGAGTTGTGGAGCTTCCTGCTCGGATTGCAGCTGCGCACAAACACGGCGTGGCAGGTGCTGCTCTCGGTGTCCGAGTCGTTTATTGTGTCTGAGCAGTCAGTTGTGGACTCTATGTCTGCATTGGCTTCAGTTGCTGCGCCTGTGAGGTCTGAGGTAATTAGGTTTGGTGCCTTGTAGCGAGCAACGCCACGGCCCGTCTGCTCAAGAGCTCTACGCCAACTTCGTCCCCAAGCTTCTGCCATGCTCCGCGAGCGCTTGGCCTGTGGCTAGTTCGGACCGCAGCTGCGGGCTACGTCCCCTTCATTTATTTGGGAATCGGCTACCGGCCAGGAGGCGTGGAAGGACCAGTCCGAGGGCATGTTGCAGAGAGGGGCGTGGCCCCGACGCTGGCAAACGCAGGCAGTGCAGCGTGCAAGCTTGAACCTCGGTCACGCGGTAAGTTTGCGCAACAAGTGCAGGATGCGCTTTGTTTGCCCTTGTGGAGACTTCTGGAGAGTCCTGGAAGGCCTGCGCGCCCTGAAAGCACCCGAAGGACAACGGGCCCGCTGGAGAAGAAAGCGAAGTGGGGGAAGTCCGCCAAGAAAGGTTGCGGCCGCTGTTGGGACCCAGAGGGGGTCTGCCGCGCCTTCGCGCCGAGGTTGCGGTGCTTCTGAGGGTGGACATCGAAGAAGGACACGGTGGAGATCATCCATTCGCAAGAAGATCACCCCTGTGGCTCGAGACCAAAGGTACCGTCCCGAACCTCAGGGCCAATGGGCCACTGGGTTCGAGCAGTGGGACAATCTCATCAAGCACGTCAAACGCAATCGCTGCAAAGCTTTTAGGACGAAAACTGCCCTAGACAATGATGAAACTCCGCAGGGCATCGCCTGCCACTGCCGGTACTGGTGCTGCGCCGCCCCTCCCCGCTTCTACCCCATCCAGCCATGTCCTACGAGAGAGTTCTCCATGCCTGCTCCCGGCACAACCCCAACTGTCAATACGACTGCTCTCGCCAACCACCATCGAGGCTTGACCCCTGTGCGAATGGCCTGCTGTTCAGCAGGCCCTGGCGGCGGGGAACTGGACAACTCTGTTGCTTCACCAAGAGGCGCAACAATATCTGCAGCACCGCTGCGCGCTGTGCTACCAGTGGGCGGCCACACCAGCTGGCATTAAATGTCATATCACTGTGCAGCACCCGCCCTGGGTGACCCTGCGACCAGAATTCAAAAACTTCTGACAGGTTTCCGCAGACACAGTCGTTCCATGCAGATATTGCCACCAATCCAAGATAAACAAGGACCGTCATTGGCACCAGTGTCATCGGTTAAGCTTTTGTGTCTTTCTAGCCGCCCACCATGACTCCTCAGCACGACGGCATGGATCTGGACGACCAGGAATCCCTGTTCTTCAACCACATTGGCCCGGTGGAACGCGACACGGAGAAAAGAAGTCAGACCTCGCATGCGAGTGACTGGGAGGAGCGAAGCGGCCGCCGCGATTGGAGAACCAGGACAAGTCAAAGGCAAGGGCAAGAACAAGGGCAAAGGCCATCCCTCTGCGGTGACGTCCCAAGGAAAAGGAAGCAACCCGATGCCGCCAATATGGGCATACAGCGCTGATTCGGCGCAGGACCATCGCAGCCTTTGGGGACAGTCAAGGGAGAGCCACCAAGGTCTTCAAGATCGGGGGATGCATGAAGACGGGTTGGAGACCAGGGTGCAGAAGCTCACGCATCTGGTTCTGAGACAGGAGCAGACTGGGATGGTCCCGGTCATGTGCAGAGCAGCGGAGAAGTGGAGGCAGATGAAAGAGGAGGCTCCCAGTCAGCTGACATACCTGCTGAAGCTGACAATGTTCAAACAGCTGCTTATCTCCCTCCGTGAAAGGCTGACCGAGACGGACCGAGACGCACAAGTGGCACGCGCAAAGTCTCTGGGATGGCTGATTGTCCAGGTGAGGAAGGCGATCAAAGAGGGGAACCCTTCTTCGCTTCAAGAGCATCCGTCGCCTCTCCACCGAGGTGACCACAGAATGGGTGCAGCTTCAGCTCAGTCCTCCAGTCTTGGATCGGATAGTCAGCCTGGCACGCGGTGGGCTGCAGACTCCGTCGCGATCGATCGATGTACGACAACCTGGTCGTGGACCTCTGGAACCACGCCTAGGTCCCCTGCTGCTGCTGCTGCTGCTGCTGCTGCTGCTGCTAACTACTGTTATTATTACTACTACTACTACTACTACTACTACTACTACCACCACTACCACCACTGCAACTACCACTACTTCTACGACGACACTTCTACTCTGATCGGCATTACATATCTTTCTCGTGGCTCAAAGCA